GACCGAGGCGGCTTTGGTCCGCGCGGAGCTTCAGGCGGCGCGAGCGGAACAGAAGGTGGAGCAACAAGCGGCGAGGCACGAGGAGCGGCTCACCGAGTTACATTCCGTGATCGCCGAGCTTGGCAGGCAGCTCGAGAGGCATCGAGCTACCGTAATTGCCGAGGAGGATGAGTCTGGTAAGGGAGAGGCAACCGATTCCGTCAACCCGTGCGACCACGGTCTCTGTCTCCCTCGGAGGACAGAGATTTATTACGAGCCGAGGTTGTTTGATGTTCTAACGCGTTCCCCGCTGCGAGGGCATCCCTTCTCTTTCTCTCAACACGTGGCCAAAATATATGAGATCTTTCCTTCCAAACGAGATGATTCTCGTCCAAGTGTTACAGTTTTTTTCTACACCGGTTTCTTTCAATTTTTCGTTAACTTTGTGAATAATTGAAATAAATGAAATATCTTTTAATTCGTTGATCGTTGATCTCCGCAGAGATAGAAACGAGCAGAGACGCGGAGGGATCTATCACTAATCCTGTCGAAGAGAGCGAAGGCGGAGGTGACATTCAGGGGGATGGAGATCGTACCTTAGGCGATGCCGATTCCAGCTGCTGCGAGGACATCGAGCCACGTACTGTCGAGGTAAGCTTCTGCTTCGTTATTGCAGCGGATTCAGAATTTAGAAAGTTGTATCTAAGACGTCGTAATGATCTATGAAATTCTTCTTTCGATTAAATAATAATTTGCATGGACAGAATGGCAGAGAGCAATTGGACAGTCCGGCGGCGTTACCAACGCCGGAACCGACACAACAGGCGGCTTCGTGCCAAAGCGTGGCCGTGGCAGCGTTGCAAGAAGAGGTCACAGCCCTTCGAGCAGAGATCGCCAGCTTGCAGGCTCAACTGGCCAATTTCAAGAATCAGGCTAACAATCAGAGGCAACAGGCTGGCAGCGAGTCGCCCCGTAGAGAAGCACGAGTGGGTAGCAATTTAATCTACTGTCAAGTATCATCCTATTGTATGACGCTTACAAGTCAATGCGATTTTGACTTGTAAAGACGCAATGGAACTCTGCGAAAGAGTTTCCTATGAAAAGAAGATCGTTCCTTTCATCTTGATGCACCGAAATACACTTTTCCCCTCTTTGAAAGGAAGAAACCACCGTTGAATGTCGAACGAATTTTTTGCATCGTTACCTCGTCCTTTGGCCAGCCTTTGATCAGCCAACACTTTCACAAAAATATTTATCAACCCTTCCTTTCGTCTGTAATGTTTTCCTCGTGCTCTTCTTTGATTTCCGCAGACAAGAGGCAACACCAGCTCACCGGAACCTTTGAGTGCACCTTGCTCGCCACTCTTGCCACCCCTGCAGACACCGCCGACAAAGAGCGTAACGAGGGAGGAAGTTCCAGTTCTTAAAATAGCCGAGAGGGTAAGACTCAGGAGGACCGACGAGAGGCACATCACAGGACCCGATATTACTAATCTGGGGGTACTTATGACTTGTACTACTTATTACTCCATTGTTGTTCATATTTTTTTTTTTTTTTTTTTTTTTCCCTCGTACGATTAATCACGAGTGAAATTTCCTTATATTCGTACAACCGCGGCTTTTATTATTTATTTATCTCTCTTGTGAATTTTATTAAACTTGACACAGGTGTGTTCCACGATGGTGGCCGAGCATCTAGTGTCAGATCTTCTGGAACACTCAAACATTCAAGAATTGAACGGATCCGAGAAACAATTCGAAGTAGAGACGGAAAGATTGAACAGCAGGTTAGAGCATGCTCGAACGAACAACGCGGTTCTTGCCTTGACTTTACACGAGAGTAAGGCGCAATGCGACAGGTATTCATTCATCTTTCCTTCTCTAAAATAGAAAATAGAAATGTGTAAAAATTACGTTTACGAATTTCATCGTATTCCAGATTGAGTCTTTTAGTGGGAAAGTACGAATCGAATGCGATTGCATTACGGTTAGCCCTTTCTTATAGCGATCGCGCGATAGAGGCTTATGATGTGTTGGTAGCGTTGCTGGAAAGCGAGATTGCTCTATCGACGGAAAGAAATAGCATCACGATCGAAAACAGGAGAGCGGCCGAACATGTAGCCTGTCATGTGTTGAATAAACTAGAAAATGAATGTATGAATACATTGAATGCACCGTGGGAAGATAGTATAGTTTTGTCGGACGAGTAAATATATAATAAAGTAGTAATAATCGATAAATTTACAATTTTTTTCATGATCCGATTTCATGATCCTTAGATCCGAAGTGACTTGGTGCGTTGAAGATGAGCAAAGACTTAGAAGACACATTAGCAGACTGAAAGGGGAACGAGCTATGGTTAGATCGACTGTAGTGGAATTAGAAAGCGTTCACGCTGAACCACTAAACTCAAAAAACACAATTTCTCTCGCCGAAGCTCGAAAATTAGATTTAGAAACAGCTGTACTTATGCAGGTTTGTTGTTTAGTTTCAAATCATTGGAGAATTCAAAAAGAAATGTAATCAATTAAAAAATCAACGCAGGAATTAATGGCTATGAGAGAGGATAAGGCAGAGCTACGAGCACGAGTTTTTCTATTGGAAAAGGAACGAGCTACTATAGAATTGAAATTAAATGCACGTGATACGCAAATTGCAGCTCAGCATGCCGCCATTGAACATCTTCAGGGTCAACTCAGAGATACAGAGGCCATGCTGGCAATGGCTACGAATAAAGTAAGAATTATTTTTCCTCTATAATACAAATTTTATTTTCCAATCGATAAATTATATATATATATATATATTATAGGATCGAGGTTTAAGCGATAACGAAAGTGAAGGCATGGAATCCGAATTAATAGAAGCATTAGGTCGAGAGGCTAGACTAAAAGAACGATTGCAAGAATTAGTTTCTACTTTAGATAAAGTTAATAAAAATTCTGAATTGAGGCATCAACAATCAGCTGAGCTTATTAACGATTTAAAAAGAGCCAATGGGTAATTAAATCATGGATAAAAATTAATTTTATCGATTGAAAAATATTACCTTTCAATTTTATTTTTAGAGCCTTGGTACAAACTTTAGAGAAGTCTAAGAAAAAATATCAATCCAGATTAAAGAAATTGGAACAACAAATGTTGGGTATGGTGGAAAGACATGCTGCTCAGGTATGAACAAGCATAAATGTGATGTGTGATATGAAAGAAGTTAAGAAGAACTGCCAAAATTGTACTTAAACGTTTGTAAAATAATTTATTATATTTTATATATGTTTTTACATAAATCCTTCATAAATTATATCAACATCATTCTGAAGATCTAAAAAGGTATAAAATATTATTAAAAATCTTTGTTGGTATAAAAATGAAATATTAAGGTTATAATATTGTACTCACTAATTTGTTATCATAGATACAAATTTCACTTTCGCCCATTAATTTATGGATAATATTTGCTATAATTCATTTATTCGTTAATATATTTTTTTTAATCTCTCTTGAACTGCTTCTTCTATTCTTCTCTTTTTATACGTTTTATAAAAGTTAACCTCTCCGACATGCCAATGAATCATAAGGAACTCTAGCACACTACCCATGATAAAACATAACGGTAAAAATCTAAATTCCTTGAAACGTTTACCAGGCATTTTATTTACGAATGTTCTTATTTTTCTTATTATTTTGGACGACGCCATTCTTATTGCGTACCACACGATGCCTTTTCTCTATCGCCATCTTGTCTTTTCAATATTGAACTGCGCCTGATTCTGCGCAGTAATTTATTATCCTAA